CAGAAGCGCAAGGGTGCCGCTTCATGCCTCACTGCTGGCGGTGCTGGCGAAGGCTGATGGGCGCTGCAGTCCAACAAGAATCCGAGAGGCACACGTTGTCCCCCTCTCCCCGGAGTTGCTTGCTGCAGGAGTCCACATAACTCCTGACCTCTGAGCCTGCAGGTGACACATGGCCAACCTGGCTAGGCTTAGGGAGCAATTCTGTGCATGCCTGCGCTGAAAAGTCCTCCAAGACCCACCATGCCCCGGCCGTCGAGGCTGGCTGGGGAGGCTGGGAGTTGTAGGACTTATTTCTGTGCAGGTGTGCATACAGTTGTGTCCGTACTGTCCTTAGGTGGTCGCTGAGGCACTGAGGCTGGGAGGGAGGGGTGTGGCTTGCATAGGCCAACTTCATTAAGTTCATGGCGGAGGCACAGTTTGCCCTGGGTGCATTCTGGTGCACTGCTTGCATTCATTTTCATGCATTTTATTTTATTTACAATATTTGTTGGCCGCCTTTCATGTCTGAAACCCCCCAAAGAGGGTTGGATAAATAAATATCATGTCATAAAACTGAGCCAATAATAAAAACAGCACGTCAATAAGACTCACAAAACCTCCAGTACAGTTATAAAAATAGTAACAGCAGTAAACAGCCTAAAAAGTGACAAACATGAGTATAAAAAACAAAATCTAATACATACAAGTGTGCTACAACCTAGTCCATTAAGCTAGTCTGTTGTCCTAGTTCCTTTTCACTCAGATTAACTAGGATTGTTCTTGGGTTAATTTCTTCCTCCTCTTTCAATCATCAACTTTTAACTTAATCGAGTGTGTGTTACAGGTGGCTTGTAATGTTCTATGAATTAATTATTCTTTCTGAAAATGTGCAAACTCTATCATCTTTGTCCTCTTTTCCCTCTCCCCTTCCACTCCAGTTAAGATGATAAATCTTAGATTAGACCGTGGCTTTGTTTCTCTTTGGGCTGTTAGATTTCTGTAAGCTAAATTTCAAGGCTTAAGGATCTTCATGTTGCTAGGCAACCCACCATCCTATTTGAAAGAGCCCTGTCCAGTGAATAGATTGGTAGCACCAAGTGCTTGTCTGTTCAGGTACACATGGAAAGGTTGATGGAGGGATGGAGACATTCCTTGAAGGGTTCCTTCGCCATTCTTGCCTGCCTGTTTGCTGAAGCCTGCCACTTAATTGAGGCACAGCACTTTCTTGCTTTCAAATCTTGGCCCCAACCATCATAAATTGCACAGGGCCAACCATATGTTTTTTGGTGCAGTACCTGAAGTGCTAAGAAGAGAAGTGTCTAGGGCAGGGTGGTGGAACTTCAGGCCTTGGGTCAGATCCTCCATCCAAGTTTTCCAGATGGCCGCACTACTTCTCCCGGCCTCAACCTATTCCTCCCACTGATTATGGAATATGGGTTCCTAGCTTCTGTGCACTTTTCCCCCAGCCGCCATCCTAAAGTGTAGAAATGCTTCTCCTATACTTTAGTGACTGGCATTAGAACCATAAGCCAAAAGACATTTGTCTGTTTGCTCTGCCCACCACTAGAACAGGGCCCTTGGTATTTTTTCTGAAGTGGAAGTCAAGCTCTGAACATCCTGCTTTAGGGGCTCAGTCATCACACACCTGGGCTCCATGTTTTGTTCATCTCTAGCACATGGGGAGCACAAGCATGTTAGAGAAAGTTTGTGGCACCCTCTGAAGATGAGGCGGACACCTCTCTTGATTCTGTAGGTCTCCTGTTTGCGGAGAGGTTGGTGGAGCCTTTTTACCCCTCTGTTGACTGTGAAGGCCCTCTGAAAACACCAAACAAGCCATGGAGAAGTCTCGCAGAAGGAGAGTACATTGTTCTAAGGAAATAATTTGCTGTCTTAACTTTATTACAGGTCGACAGCTAGGAATGGAAACCAGTATGAAGTGATTGACTCTGTGCTAGCAGTTTGGTCTGGCCTGGCCCAGATTCCTGCCGGAACAAGAGGTCTCAAATGTCCCAGCCAGAAAACGTAGAGTGCTTCTTCATCTTTGCACGCTTTCCCCTTCCGATGCCTCTCTTTGCTCCTGAGCTCAGTGGTGGCTGCCTGTTTTCCATCTCTGCCAAGGGAACTCTGGTTGCCTTGTGCTGAACTTCGAAGGCCTTTCCTGAAGACCTCAGCTGGGCACTGCATCACGATGGCTGGATTTTCCTGGCCCTCCTTGTTTTGTTGCCTGGGTTCTTCCTCTTCGTTGCTGACCACTTGCGCTTGACTGGCCGCTGGAGCTATGCGGCTGCCTCATGGGCAATTCAAGCAGGCTTTGCATCAGAGGTCCATGCCTCCTTGGCAGAGGCTCCAGATTAAGTCGTTGTCTGACTGACTTCCTGGAGCATTTCTTGGTTTACTTGGCTTGCTTCCCTCCCTCTTTGCCCGTGTCTTAAGTTTTGGTCCTGGCTTGCTTTGCCTGGCAAACCAAGGAGCAGTTCTGCAGGCAATGGGTAGTATCCTTCGGATGCCAGTGCTCAGATTATACTGGGATGAGGGGGTCGTTCCTCCTTAGCTACCCCCTTCAGAAGGCAAACTAGACGGCGGCTTTCCCTGCCGTTTCTCCTATAATTCAGCCATTCCACCACTTTGCTCTGACGATTGGTATCCCCCCACTGAATCCTGTAAGAACATGCTTGATCCACTTGTGTTCTTGCTAAGAGTCCCAGGAGATCAGTCAATGCACTCAGGTTGTGCTAGCCGGCTGGCAAAAGCAACCCATGGGATCACCATTGAAAATAAGGTGAGTTGGGATGGATCATGGAAAAAGAACATGCATTTAGGCCGGTGTCTTGCTTCCTGGAGTGGTCAACCAATTTCTCCACCAAGTCCATGGCATGGTGTTAAGGAAACAGCCTTGTATTTTTATCGTAATTTAACTGGTATCCCTTGCCTTACTGTTTTTGAATGTAGCCCCATCATCCTCATGGTTAATAGGCATCTCTAGTCGGTCCTCCATGAACTTTTGTCTCTCCTTTTAAAGCTTGTGGATGGGGCAACAATTCCATGTGTTAACCTGCTGAGTGTAGAAGTCCTCTTGTCTTGAATCTTCTGTTTCATTGTCATTGGTGACCCTGAGATCTAGTATTATGAAAAAGGGACAAAAGGTTTTCTCTCTCTCCAGGCCATATATTAGCTCATAAAGCACTCTTAAGTATTTCTTTGGTTGGCTTTTTCCCCTCAGTGGAACAGCTGCCTATGTTTTTGTTCTCCTTGTTAAAGAAAGTGCTTTGAACGCCCAGTGATTTTGGTTCCGTTCCCCCACACCCTTTCCAGCTCTAGATAATCCTTTCAGGAGATGTGAAAACCATCACTTCAAGGGTGCGATGAAATAGGCTGCAGTTTGAGAATTATGCTTCAGGGTCCCTCAAAAACAGTGCAAGGCACTACAGAACACGCCTACTCTTCTTTCATGTAATTCAGTGATCTTGGATCCAAAAATGTTGAAATAGCCTTGCCTCGTTATCTTTTTAATGATTTAAGGAGAGCTAGAACTATTATTGCACGTTTGTTTTACTGTAACGAGACTGCTGGTCTCTTGCCTCTGGCATAGAGATGAGGAGAAAGCCATATTCTGGGTCAAATCATAAAGATTTTGGAACGGTTGTTGGATGGTTTTTTGCTTTGTCTTGCCTTGTTTCTCAGCCGGGTGGTTTTATTTTTCACTGCCTTCTGTGTCATGTTCTTGAAAATATTGGCAAGCCTCTGTCACTGTGAGCAGGTATAATTGAAACTTGTTTTCTCCAAGGAATCACTCGGCTGTGTGGTTTATTTGTTTACTGACATTGACAGAGATCTTAATGGCTTTTTAAACCCAATTTGTGCATCACTGAATATCCTCCAAAGAGGAAGATCTGATTAAATTTATCGGTGGAATGAAGTCTCCTCTCTGCAAGCCCTTGCCTGCATTGTGAATATCTGCACCTGAGTAAAGCACATGAGGCTTAGAAACTCCCATGCAGGCCACATGCGCAAGGTTACCTGTCTCCCAGGTTGAAAGAAGATTTTGTTGTTCTGCTTTGGGCTTGCTTTTCTTTCTTTACCACTGGTTCAGGTCAGGACCAGACTTCACTGCCGTGCCGCTAGGGCTGGCTGGTATTTCCGCTTGTTTTGTGAACATTTGTGTATAGGGATCCGTTTCCTGGAATTTGGCCAAGTGGACGACTCGCTTTCCAATGGACACTTGCGTTCTGGACACCTGAGCTGAGCCACATGTAAATGGCTCCCGGAACCACAAAATGATGTGTAAAATTATGTTCGGGCCCCACAATTCATGGGAGGATATTGCATCCATGTAGCTTGAAGGGCCTGATCATGCCTCATCTTGGAAGCTAAGCAGGGTCAGGCCTGGTTGGAATCTGGATGGGGGACTTCAATGTTGTGAACCACCCAGAGAGCTTCGGCTATGGGTGGTATAGAAATATAATTAATCATCATCATCATCATCATCATCATCATCATCATCATCATCACAGTCTTAGAGGGGTGGTAAGAGCAGTCCCAGATTTCCCTTCTCTCTAATTTAGGCAAGAACTACCTGCACAGCTTTGTCTGCTCTGTGAACTATTGGGCAGATCCTGGACCCTTCTCTGTCTGCAATCTGGAGAGAAAAGCCAGCCCTCCTCTCCTCCTCCCTGAGGCCCTCGTAGCTTCCAGGCCAGGGCGTAGGGCTCACAAAGCGAGGCCCTTTCTTGGCAGGCAAGATGGAAACGTGTGTGGAGCACGATTGCCCAGTCAAAATGCAACACTTGGTTGCATAGGGAACAGGGAAGTAACTCCTTGGAATGCAACCAGACACCTTCTTCACAACTTGCTGGAGTCTATTTACATTGTTACATGAGCAAAGGACAAGCTGAATCCACCTTCTGAGTGCCCTACCATTAACATTTTTTGGTGAATATGCACCTGTCAGTCAAAGCAATGTGTAGTAGAAATGAGGTCATGCTATTCTCACATTGATTTCATTTCCCCTTCTTGCTTTGCAGTGCCAACAACACGAATCCTGGCGACGGGTGGGGCGTCCTACAACAAAGCCATCTTACAAGTAAGTACGGCTTGTGCGTGTCTGGTCACCCACTGCGGTTTCAGCCAATTTGTGGCCCCTTTATTAGAGAGAGGTCTGAAGAGGGCGTGCCTGGAGTAGCTGCAAGGGGAATCAGGCGGGATGCATGGCTTTTGGTCCTGGAGGAATGGATTGCTTAATTCTGTGGCTGGCCATATCTAATCTAGAGCTCAGAATCCGATAAAGCAGAACACAGTTCTCACGTGTTACCTTTTATCCTTTTGGAGCAGCTCCCTGAAAAGCTACAGAATCCTGCCATGTCCCATAACGTTTCTTGTCCAGGAACTTCCAGACCTGATTGCCACTGTGAGGGTTCCTCTCATGGCAAACATAGTACTCATGTGCCCGGTTGCAACAGATGTTTTCTTGTGGTTCTCAGGTCTTGTCTGATGTGTTCAATGCTCCAGTTTATACTATTGACACCACCAATTCTGCCTGTTTAGGATCTGCTTACAGAGCAATCCACGGTAAGTCAACCCAAGAGCCATTGAAATGGTGTGACTGTAGGCACTGGGAGACACCCTCCTCATGGCTCAAAGTCTTTGTTTTAGTGGCCTTCCATGCTTGCCACCTGCCGATCAGTGGCTTCTGATCTTCCTTGCTTGCATTTCCTCTTGACTCTCTCTCGAGCCAGGTGATCTGAAAGGGTATAATAAGGACAGCCCTGCTAGAATAGACTTAAGTGCCCATCTGCTGTAGCATCCTGCTTTGACAGCAGACAAGCAGATGCTTCTGGGACACCCACAGGCAGGGCAGAAAGGCAAGAGCCCATCCTGTTGCTTGTTCCCCAGCAACTGGTGTTCATTGGCAGTTCTGTCCTCAAGCCATTTAGCTGTCGTAGCCATTGAGAGACCTCTGTGAACTTGTCTGTGCCTTCTTTATGGGGATGTCCAGGCCTCTTCTCTACTGGAAGGTTCATAAATAATCCTGTGATGACCACCTTGGCCGGAGCCACCCAAAGCCATATGGTGGGCACCCACGAGGCCTTTCTTACTCTCCACCTCTCTTATAACAAGGGCTGCCCATCCTCTCGTCTTCCATGGGTGCCTCAGTGCTTGACAAAAAATCCAGCTTCTTCAGTGCCCATTTGTGCAAGTTTGGTCAGTCATGCAAGGCAAACAAAGCAGGGATGCTTTGAAGTACATCCTTCAGATCTATCCTTGCTGAATATATAATCTATGCCACCCCTTGCAGGAAGAAGGCATCAAGTCTGCACAGGGATGAGGCCTGGAGAGAAGGAAGGATAGCAATACATTTTTGAGATCCATGTGAAATTCCTCGTGTAGTTTTTCAAAAGACATTATTTGTTCTTTCTTCCTAGGAGGGAGAAACCTTCACTATTTACTGCTCGGGCCATTGGTACATATATCAAGCTCATAAAAAGACTTTTGTAGTTCTCTTTCTCTTGCAGGTCACAAGTGACTTGCATAGGTGTGTGTGAGTGCGCAGGAAGAGAGAGCCCTGCACCCCCTCTCAAACAGAGGTGTAAACTGCGCAGAGAGCTTTGGCTATCGGGGGGTACGGAAATGAAATTAATGATAATCACAACAACAATAACAGGGCTGCAGAGATGGCAGCATGCTTCACCAGAGTGTCCTTTGCTTCCGCCAGAATGGTCCCGTTGGTCTTTAACATGCTGAAAGGCACTCATTTTGTGTGTCTGCTGTAACAGACTAGCATGACTAACCCAGTACTGTTAATCCTGCAACTGGTGGGTGACCAGTCTAGCCAGGGGCCTCTTTCTGGGACTCTTGCTCTTCTCCCCCACCTTGCCCCAGTCTCTTCCTTTTCTCCCTCACTGCTTTTTTAAAATCAGGCTTTGCCCTTGAATCTGTTACTTCTCCATATTTTCCCATCTATTTGCTGCCTTATTGGCATTCCTCAATGATTACTGATACTGTTGAACTTGCAACTCTGTGGCCAGCTTTGCCCTCCATGGGACAAATTGAATGACTGACGTATACTCGATCGGCAAGACCCTGCGTGCCCAGGCCCAAGTGCATTGGAATGTAAGATCTTTACCCTTTATCCTTCACTTCTGAATGCTGACCTGACCAGGGAAGATCAATGCAATGTATTAATTTGCCAAGGAGCCTCGGCACATCCCTCATCTTGTTTCTGCTCATTGATTAGGGCTCTGGTCCTTGTTGCAGGACTCATGGCAGAGAGAAACATGTCCTTGACCGATGTTGTGAAATTAGCACCGGCGCCCAGATTAGTTGCTACTCCGGCGGCTGGCGTGGCTCAGGTGATGGGTTAGCCCATTTTTATCTCTTTCTGCTTTAAAGATAGAATGGCTGATAATTAAAAGGGGTAAAAAGGGAGACATTTCATTTCACAAGGTTCACTTTGCTCAGACATACCGGAAACCTGTGTTACAGGAATGAATTTGGTAAACTGGCTGTTTTTGTGTCACCTTGTTCAAGGAATGCTTGGAGGATTCATTGCCTGCCTTGGAATTCTCGGGATTCCCTGGGAACTGAGAGAACCTGCTGCTATTTATTATTAGTTGTATGCATACCCCACCGGCATCCTCTTGCAAGGACCCCAAGGCAGCCTAACAGCCTCTGTTGTTGTCTCTCATAACAACAACCTTGTGAGGTGGGTTAGGCTGAGAGTCTGTGACTGGCCCCAGGTCCTCCTGAGAGCTCCATGGCTGAGTGGGGTATTTGCAAATCACTGCGTGCATGTCCACGGCCTCACAGTCTCAATTCCCAGTTTGATTTCCACAAATTTCCTGTTTTGTGCAAGCTGCTTCAGTAGATTGAATGAGCTGTATTTTTATGCATCCAGGAAATGTGTGCAAATCTGGAAAGATTTACACCAATCTCATTGATCACTGCTCAATTTGTGCAAGCTTGCCATTGGCACCAGTGGAAACGCCAAGTGGACAGTAATCTGGAATGGAAATTGGGCACAAGGCTAGTGTTGGGTTCTGGCTAGTCTGGAAAACCCTAACAAATATTGCTCATTTGCCCATCGCTGTGCACATTTGTTTTTCCCACCCTAACCCAGAGGTGAGGCCTATCAACTTTCTGAAAGTCAGCAATTTTAAAAAAGAACAGGGCAATTCAGAGTCATCAAACTCTATCTATCTACCTACCTACCTACCTACCTACCTACCTATCTATGGTTTTTGTATGCAACCCCAATTACTAAAAATTGGGCAGCTTACAGAGAGCAAACAGAAATAAAACCCATAACAACAAGAACAACAACAAATGGCCCACATTTGATGGCCCACAATTCATGTTTTCCCCTCCCATTCAACTGTCTCTTGTGATCTGGAAATAAGAGGAGGAGCAGATTTCGGCAAGTTTGTCTGTGTACTCCAAATCAGGGACCTCCATATTTTTCCATAGAAGAATGCCCCCCACCCCTGTTATCACTTCCCTTTATCCTTCATTGATGAAAGGAGGATGCTATGCCCTAAACAACCGAATGCTGTCAACAGAAACGTAATTCTTTCTTAGGGCAGAATAAATACTCGACAAGCAGCACAGCTGCAGCTGAAAGAGTGGGAGGATCTCAAGGCACAGGGTAACGCACGACGTATAACAGAGTGGGGCAGCGAGACGCAACACAGTGTTTTTGCTGGCAGCCCTGTGTTTTCTTACAAATGTGGGCCCTCAGCCCTTGTTTATGTCTGATCTTGTCCGTGTCCTGTCCTTTGGCCTTGGTGCCCCCAGAGTTGATCCTATGAAAACGGGCCTTTCGGACCACCCAACACTTCCCTTTCTTTTTGGAATTCTGTAGAAATTTCTCCGTTGCAAGTGCAGGGTTTTCTGCATGCTTCATGGCTGGCATGCCACAGAAGCCAGAGGGCCTGTCAGAACTACAGTGTGTTAGCATAAAAAGTGCAGGAGAAGTTCATAATCTGATGAGTCAGTTTGGTTCTGCTTTTAACAGGGCTGCATCTCCCTGTCCATCTGATTTCGTTATGTCGAGTTAAGCAGCTTTCACTTAAGCGACAGTTCTTTTTATACACTTCAAAGTCAACCTGAGGTTAAGCACTGTCTTCCCAGGGAATTTTCTGTAAAACAACCTGGCTAACCCCATGTGAAGTTGTCTTGATCACATCCCAGATTTTGTTCTGCTTTGTTTCTTGTAGTATATGAAATCTATATCTTTGTTGCACAGAGAAGCGCAAGCAAAGCTTTAATTAACTGGCTATCTTGCCAGTCTTCACTTCCAAAGGTCCCCCACGAAACCTGCCCACAGATTGCTTTCTACAAATCACCAGAGCGAAAAAAATAAATAAATAATAGTAAATAATAAATCAATAATAGTAAATAATAAAGCTCCGTGGCCAAACAGGGACTAGAACGCACATCCCCCGAGTCCTAGTTTCACATTCTAACCACCACACCAGGCTTCAGTAGGAGTGCTCCACTGCAGTACCCTAATTTTTCAGGGATTGCTGTCACAGGGCTGAGCACAACAAAACCATGCGACATGGTGCCGTGTGGCCTTCTTGTAGCAGGGGCTACAGGCCCCGTTGTGCTCCGAGGTAAACTTTACACATCCTGTCCGAGTGAGCCACTGAATAGAGTGAGTTACGAGGGTCAATTCTGTGTAGGTTTTTGAAAAGCTCACTGATTCTAGTGGATCACCACGGGGGTTCTCATGAGTAGGTTTATACAGTGGGATCTGGCCTCAAGTCCTCCCAGCGACTCCACGTTTTAGATTGCTGAGGCTGACTCTTTATAACATCATTGCTTACTGGCAGGCATCACAGGAGGAAAGATGTTAGCAAGAGGGAGAATGAAAAGGGAGAATTCTTGATCTAACTATTACTGGCTTGCTTCTTGGTTCAAAAATGAGGCTCGAGGCCCTGCCTAAGGGGTTGAAATATTACATTAATTTTTAAAAATATATCTATTCTACTTCCCCCTGAGACTGATCTTGGAGAGATTGTAGTTCATTTGAAAGATGTGTTGTTGTTACGTGCCATCACGCGATCGCCAACCTACGGGCTTAGTGAATCTGTGTTTTCCAAAATGGCTTGTGCTTGACAGCCGTGCTCAGCCCTCGTCAAGGCTGTGGCTTCCTGTACGGAGCCCGTCCCTCTCATATTTGGTCTTCCTCTTCTGGCTTCAACTTCGTCTCGCACGGTTGGCTCCTCAAGGGTGTCTTGGCTTATCCTGCTGTGCCCAGACTACTGCGCCCGAGCTGTGCTGGGTTTTGCCGTTTTCCTTCCAGGGCAAATTCTGGCTTGATCCGACCTAGGACTCACTTGTTCGTTTTTGTGTTGGTGCAGAGTATTGGCAAAGCTTTTCTCCACCACCAAGATTCGAATGCATCCATTTTTTCCCTGTTGGCTTTCACACGGATGTATTGTGATCAGGAACACAATCGAGTGGGCCATCTTTGCCTCAGTCTTGAGTAAAATGCCCTTCCACTTGAGGAACCTTTCTAATTCTTTAACTGCTACCCTTCCAAGACTCAGTCCTCTTCTAATTTCTTG